GACTGCCCTTTCTCTCAAAATCACAGAGCCAGCAGACCCATTGTTGATTCCTGAACTTTCTGGAGGGAGTTGTTTTAAAGTTTTTCCAGAAAAACTCCATTTTTGACGTTCGGGTGAGTTTCAGAACCTTCTTTCTTTTCGTCCTCCTAGCCTTTTTGTTTTCCGATTGAATGGTGGTGTCATCCGGTCGACACGTCGTGATTTAAACCCTCGGGAAACTTCCTTAGGGGTTTTCAAGAACAAATACCCTTTTCTTTCTTTTCTTTTAGAGATGCCTCGTCGTCGCCCTGCTCCCGAGAATCCTCAGGCTGGTTCTTCGGGGTCAGGGAAATACAAGGTGAAAGGGGAGGAGCAGATCGATAGGTTTAGAGCCAAGTACAGCATTCCTCCGTGTGTACACGTAGTGGATTTTGACCCATCGGTGCACTCATCTGTCCTCGGGGCCGAGGATGCCATGCCTTTCTATACCAAAGCCATCATAGAGGGTGGAATTAGGTTTCCTTTACCCCCCCTGCTTCTTCAGTTCCTCTCCCACTTTCGCGCTCTTCCCCGGGCAATGCTGCCTTAATGTCTTCCGAATAATCATGGGGGTCTTAGAGCTCAATAGGCGCCTCGGGGTAAATATTGGGCTCAATGATCTCCTTTTCTGTTATTCCCTCCTTAGAGTCATGCCTCACCAACACTTCTACCTCAAAGCCAGGGACCCCTCCATGTACCTTGTAACCCATCTTCCTGACTCGGACAAGGGGTACAAGGACGATATCCTAATCTTCAAGGGATCTTGGCAGAGAGGTGTTGGTCCCGAGTACAATGACTTATTATGCCCTATGGAATGGAGAACGACAAGTACGTCGGTTCCTTCGGGTTTCTTATTTGTTTCTCCGNTATGCCCTCTGGAATGAAGAACGACAAGTACGTCGGTTCCTTTTGGTTTCTTATTTGTTTCTCGGGACTTCCCATGTTTATGACAACTTTTTTGTTTGTGCAGATATTCCTGCTCGGGAAACAGCTCCTCCTCCTCGGTCGCTGGTGAACTTTGCCGACCTAATCACGGTTTGGAGGTTTACGGGTGACAACGGGTTTGGCCGTGCTGCTCATATCCTACTGAACTATACCCCCGGGTATAAGAAGTTTTCGCAGCTTCCGCAGCCTTTTGAGCCNGCTGCTCATATCCTGCTGAACTATACCCCCGGGTATAAGAAGTTTTCGCAGCTTCTGCAACCTTTCGAGCCTTCGCAGTGGTTCGAACTCTTCGATCAGGCGGCGANTCATATCCTGCTGAACTATACCCCCGGGTATAAGAAGTTTTCGCAGCTTCCGCAACCTTTCGAGCCTTCGCAGTGGTCTGAACTCTTCGATCAGGCGGCGAGGCTAGAGGTTGAGGAAAATTTGGAGGAAGACCCGGATCGGGCTTCAGAGGCAGAGGTCGAGGGAGTTGCTGAAGAGCTCGGGGTCAGAGAGGACACTATTCCTTCAGACGCCGAGGTGGGGACTTCCCGGGGGGACTTGTGGCCAGACTTCCAAATCCTTCAGTCCTTAGACGCTCTCGAGGCAGCGATGTCTAACGCCCCTCGCATCGATTTGGGGTTCCTTAGGCAGAGGCAAGCCCTCGCAGTCGGGAGAGGTCGAGGAACGACCGGCGGCACTTCTGCGGGGACCAGTTCCGCCTCATCTTCGAGGGTTCTCGGTCGNTCCAGATCCTTCAGTCTTTGGACGCCGAAGACGCTCTCGAGGAAGCGATGTCTAATGCCCCTCGCATTAATTTGGGGTTCCTTAGGCAGAGGCAAGCCCTCGCAGCTGGGAGAGGTCGTGGAACGACCGGCGGCACCTCCTCAGCGGGGACCAGTTGTCCCCCATCATCAAGGGTTCCTGGTCGGGGTCAGGTGCAAGACCGGGACCCTCAGGTGGAGGAGGAAAGAAGGGTCAAGCATCGGCATGACGATCTTGGCCGAGGATCCAGGGCGCCTCCTGCTCAGCAGCACAGCGGGAGGGGTCGTGGATTGCCGCCCGCTTCTTCGCAACAGCAGTCGCAGCAGCAACAGCCCCGACATCAGCAACAACAACAGCAGCCGCAGCAGTAACAACAGCAGCAGCAGCGGCAACAACAACAGCAGCAGACCCCTCCTCCCGTTCCGCCTCGGGTGGAGGCCGCGGAGTGGAATCCCCGAGCCACTGATCACATGAGCCGAGTGATCAGGGTCGACGATTCTATTCTGTCGGATCCTCATGTCGCTAATGTAGTGAGTGAGACACTGCACTTTGAGGCCGACATGGAGGCTCATAGGGGGCGATCAACCAACGTGTTGTTCCGCTCCATCATCCAGAACTCCCTGGTGGTGAGTTTATTTTTGCTTTGGTTTCCTCACTCTTGTTTTCCATTTTTGTGATTAACACTTCTTCGTTCCATAGCAGGCTACCTAGCAGATCTCTGTCATAGCTGCTCGGTACCACGGGTCTAGGATGGACCTCCAGAGGGCCCGAGGTCAGAAGGAGGAGGCAAAAACGGCCCTCGCCCGGGCCATGGAGGATGTAGCTGCCCGGGATTCTACCCTGGCGGGGCAGGCTGCTCAAATAGANTCTCCATCATAGCTGCTCGGTACCACGGGTCTAGGATGGACCTCTAGAGGGCCCGAGGCCAGAAGGAGGAGGCGGAAGCGGCCCTGGCCTGGGCAATGGAGGATGTGGCTGCCAGGGATTCTACCTTGGCGGGGCAGGCTGCTCAAATAGAGCAACTCCTCAAGGACGCCGAGTCGGCCAAGGTGGGCGCTGAAAAGCTAAGTGNAAAGGTTGGCGCTGAAAAGCTAAGTGCCGCCCTTGCCGATGCTGAGAGGAGGGTTACCGAGCAAACGCAGCGGCTTTCTGCTGCTGAGGAGAGGGTCGTGGGCTC